GGAGGGAATCTATACCTGTGCTTGGGTTGGGGGGGAAGTTGGGAGACTGGCTATATAAATAATCTTAGGGTGGGGACTGCTACACGAGAAAGGCCAACCATGTCATTTAGGGTAGGCTTTGGGTCCCAGTGATATTAGTCAACCTGGAGACTGAGTTCAACCACCTGGGCAATTAGTCACTCTATTTTGCCTATGTAATGCATCTCCAGTGAAAACTCTGGACTCTGAAGCTGGCTTAGCAGTACTCTGTGTGTATTATCACACATAGATGCCAGGAGGGTAATGTGTTCTGATTCCATGGGAGAGGACCATTGGAGGCTCTGTATTTATAAGCCCCCAGACTCTGCTCTGAGTTTCTTCTTTTGGCTGATTTTAATCTGTATTAAACTGTGATAACCTTTATGTGATAAATTGTAATAAGCCATCTCTTTTAATAAGCTGTAAACATGATTATAATAGCTTTCAGTAAAGTTCTATGAGTCTTTTTGACAAATTATTGAACCTCAGAGTGGTTTTGGAAACTGCCCAAACGTCTAGTTGATTGTACAAGAGAGGGCAGTCTTAAGGCCTGCTCCATCAGACTTTGTAGTTGCCTACTTCCAGACAGCATGTTTTCATTTATTTTGGGTATATACCTAGGAGTAAGGTTGCTGCATCACATGGTAACTCTACCTTTAACTCTTGAGGAACTACTGAACTATTTTTCACAGTGGATGTGTCATTTTACATTTTACATTCCCACTGGAAACATACGAGGGTTCCAGTTTCTCCACATTCTTAGTGACACTTATTTTCTGTTTTGTTTGTTTTCAGTTATAGCCATCCTGATGAGTATGAAGTGATATCTGTGGTTTTGGTTTGCATTTCTCTAATGACTAATTATATTGAACATCTTTTCATGTCCTTATTGGCCATCCTTATATATTCTTTGGAGAACTGACCGTTCAGATCCTTTGCACATTTTAAAATTAAGTTACTTTTTGTTGATTTCTAAGAGTTCTTTATACATTCTGGATATTAGGCCCTTACCATATATGGTTGGCAAGTATTTTCTCCCATTTTCTCTTGTTACCTTTTCACTTTCTTTCTCGTGTTCTCAAAGCACTAAATTTTACACTTGGTTGAAGTCCAGCTTAACCTATTTTTCTTTTTGTTGCTGAGCATTTAAGAAAATTTAAGAAACCATTGCCTTAATCAGGGTCACAATGATGTACACCTATGTTTTCTAAGAGTTTCAACTCTCACGTTTAAGTCTTTGATCCATTTTGAGTTTAATTTTATGTATGATGTGTGGTGGAATCACAATTTTATCCTTTTGCGTTTGGATATCCAGTTGTCCCAGCATCATTTGTTGAAGACTGTTCCCAGTTATTTCTCATTATTAGAGTTAAGTGTTAAATTCAAAAGAATCAAAGAGTCCAATTTTATATTCTTTGGTAATGTGTTCCAGTTTTCTGTAAGAATTTTTTTTAAATACTAAATTTAAATTTCATTTGCCTTTTATTTTAATGAAAATTGATAGTTTTTTTATATGTTATTCTTGAATACTCTTTAGAAGTTTTAAAAAAGTAAATGCTTGATCATAATTAGCAATATCTTTGGAGGCAGCTTTTATAATTCTGAAAAATAGACTCATTCCTTTTATAATATTTTATGATACTTTTACATAAGCATGTTTTGAAATTTTCTGTTTAAAAAAATTTTTTTTGAAATTTTTAATTTTTTTAGCTTGTAAGTATATGTTTATGATTTTTTTGTAATGATTTATCATATTGTTTCTTTCCTTCAACTTTTGATTTAAAAAATTCCAAACTTTGAGAAAAGTGAAAGAATAATACATGAATATCAAATTGCCTTTCCTCTAGATTCACCCGTTTTTAATATTCTACCACATTTGTGTGTATTTTCTTTCTCCATCTCCATTAATTGCCATTAATAATATTATCAAATACACATTATGTGTGTGTGTGTGTATACATATATATATATATATATATTTTTTTTTTTTTTAACCTCTTCTCAAAGTGTTCTTTTATGGCTATATTTTTCTTTTCAGTTTTCAGATTTAAGCTCCAGTCAGGGATCACACATTATATTTGGTCTTTATTTTTCTTTTTTTCCTTTAATGCAGAATAGTCTCCTGGCCATTTTTTACTTTTCAGGATATTGACTCTTTTTTAAGATCCCATGTTCCTTTTTTGTAGATTTCCTACCATTTGGATTTGTCTGATTGTTCCTTCATGAGATTCAGGTTAAATATGCTACTTTAGTGATAAAGATGCATATTTTGGAATTTGCTCGGTGATTTCTAGGAGATTAAAACTAAAAAATGGAATATTTCATTCCTCCCCCCTTACCGCACATCAACCCAAATAAATAAAATCAAGGCAATCAAAGAATCTGCAGTTATTGGGAACATCAAACTTCAAATTTTTGACCTGATGTTTTTCATACTTTGGCAAACTTAGTTTTTTTAAGTTACCACTTTGATTATAAGAAATGCTAGTCTACTAGAAGAGCACTGGTCTGGATGGTAGGAAATGGGTGCATGAGATATGAATTGTTTTACTCATTTATTTAAGAAATACTATTGATCATATCCTCACATTATACAGTTGCTATGTGTGAGAACTGGATTCCAGTGTTTATTGCATTTGGCCATTAGGATGTCATTTACTTTTTTCCAGAGCAGGTATAGTAGTAGAAACCTCATTATAGTCAACTGAGGAATAAAATAAAGGAGACAAAGTAGAAAGATAGATGCATACCAGTCCTTAGCTTAGCTGTAGAATTGAGGGAATTTCTCTTCTCTCTTCCCCTCCCTACCTCCCCTGTTTCTCTCTTTTTCTTCCTTTAAAACCTAGGCTGATGGTAAGGAACTGCTAGAGAGGTTGAGACACAGAAGGAGAGGAATAACTAGCATTGTAAGATACCGGAAGATGGGAATAAGAACACAGCTGGAGGGGTAAGCTTTAGATAGGTGAAGCCGTACCATTTGATTTAAGAGGAAATGTATACAAATGGATAAGTGAAGGTATATAAGGAGAGAGAGGGGGTTAGGTAGTTGAACGGGTCAGGTGGTCTTTATTTTTACTGATACATGAGTTAACTTCATCTGCCAAGAGTGAGTTTAGGTAAGAGATTTGAAAAGAGAAGAGGGTTTGTAGTTGACTAAGGATAAGTAAAAGAATTGATGAGTCATTTTGAGAGCCTGAGAATGGGTTTAATTGACCCAGTTCTTCACTTCTGCGTTTTTCTCCCCATATGAAGAGGTTGAATTGAATTGTGTGGAAGTTGGGTTGAATTGAAGATTAGAGGTTTGAAGGAGCTGTGGGGTGAAGGGTTAAGGGGTGGATGGGAATTTAGGGTGCTAATGAGAGGGCAGTGAAATGATTGGTAGTTTGTGGAGAAGAGGTGCACGTGTGCAGGAAGAAATGATAGACTCAATAAAGTAGAGGAATGGGGCACGGTTTGCTTTGATAAGGTCAAAGAATAGGTTAGGGGTAGAAGGTTACAGCCAGAGATAGATCAATGTTTAGTTTCAGAGATGGAATCAGTGTGAGTAATGATGAGGTCCAGGTTAAGGTAACTGGAATGGATTATTGGGATGAATGCAATTGTATTTGTTTAGGGGAAGAATAGTTGAGGTATACACATTATATAAATTGTGCCTTGAAATTGCCAGGATAATGGCAAGATTTGTGTTAGTAAGGTAGAAGGATCTTAGAGCTTAAAGCTTCATTGATTATGGAGAGTGAGGAAGAAATGGGTTCAATAAAGAACATTACATTCTAGCACAGTCAGATGGCATACCTCTCAGAGAAGTGGATTTTATGCAAATGTGGAGGAGTTTTAGCCTGGAAGCGGCTAATAGGGGAGCTAGGAGAATACGGACTCTCCTCTCTCTGTTGTGTGTATTGGGTGTTACAGAAAGGCCCACATTCATTAGATTGGATTTTATAGAGCAAGTAGCTCCAGCAAGAGAAACTAAACTTTATGCTATTAATGACTAGGGGGTGCAAGACTATAGAATTTTTTTTAAATGAAAGCATGAGGGTTTCGTTTCGTTTCGTTTCGTTTCTTTTCTTTTTTTCCTTTCTTTCTTTCTTTCTTTCTTTCTTTCTTCTTTCTTTCTTTCTTTCTTTCTTTCTTTCTTTCTTTCTTTCTTTCTTTCTTTCTTTCTTTCTTTCTTTCTTTCTTTCTGATTTTATTTATTTATTTGAAAGAGAGAGAGGAGAGAGCACAAGCAGGGGGAGCAGCAGAAGGAGAGGGAGAAGCAGGGAGCTCCATGACTTGAGCTGAGGACAGACGCTTAACCGACTGAGCCACCCAGGCACCCTGAAAGCATGAGGGTTTCAAAGAGCCAGTGGAATTGATTGGAATAAGAAAGAAGCAGGATGGGGCGCCTGGGTGGCTCAGTCAGTTAAGCATCTGCCTTTGGCTCGGGTTGTGATCTCAGGGTACTGGGATCAAGCCCCACGTTGGGGGTCTTTGCTCAGTGGGGAGCCTGCTTCTCCCTCTCCCTCTGCCTGCTGCTCCCCCTGCTTGTGCTCTCTCTTTCTGTCAAATAAATAAAATCTTAAAAAAAAAAAAGAAAGAAGCAAGATGATAGATTGAGGGTTGAAAATATAGTGGAATATTGGGATAGTTTCAAGACTCACTGTGATGGGGTCCATGTGTAATGTACAGATTATGGAAACCAAACAATGATATTTGATTAATTTTGAATGGGAGACAAGCATATTAGTGAAATTACTGGAATGTAATACATTTAGAAATGATAAAGCTAGCCTGACAATTTTCTTATTAAAAATGAAAAAGGGTTAATTCTGACTTGCATGTAATAATGTGTCCACTGGGTGTCACTGTGGCTTCACGTTTAGTTACACAAATAAACAGGTACAGGAGCTTTGTGGAGTCAATATTACATGGGTCTTCTGTCTGCTTATTTTTCCTTTTTGCAGTGAATTTTGCTAATATCTTTTTCTGGTTTTTTTTAGGTACAGCTATTTATCACCATTGCAAATAAAGCAGATACCTATTCCTAAATTGGCGGCTGCAAACTGTCTTATCATTACTTGGGTGACCAATAGACAGAAGCACCTGCGTTTTGTAAAGGAAGAACTTTATCCTTCTTGGTCTGTTGAGATAGTTGCTGAGTGGCACTGGGTAAAAGTAAGTTGAAAAATTAACTTATTTGTTAATATAGTGTGACATATAAGTCACATAAATATAGCATCTAATTTTTAATACTTAACATGGCACTGCTCTACTTCTTCAAAACAGTCTATTTAAAACTTTTACTTTGATACTAAATACTTGTTTCTTTTTGATGCTAAATACTTATATCTTCTTATTCTCAAAGGCTTTTTACTTTTTGTTCTGTGTCTTTTTGTGGTAGAGTCTCAAACTGCTGGCCTTAGGAAATAATTGATTCAGGGAGATATCAGGATGACATTCTAAAAAGCTCTGATGTCTGTAGTTTAAAAAACAACAAACAAAAACTTTGGAGAATCTATCAGGAAACATAGAAATAGTTTTGTCCTTCATCTTCTTGCTCTTTACGCATCCACAATTTCAGTCACCCTTTGTGGGTTCTTTCCTGTTTTTTTTTCTTTTTTCTTATGTTGCTGGGGATGGGAGGGAGAATAGCTAAGTAACCCAGCTTGGAAGAGGTGGAAAGAACCAAGAACCTTACGTACTTGAAATTTTAACTTAGGTCCTCAGTGCCTTATGTGCTGCTATGCCTATTTTGAAAGAGATGACTCCCAATTCTTGGATTGGTTGAATGATCTTTAATATCTCTGTTTACTATAAAGAACAAAAAAATACAGAAAAATAAGGCATCAGTTCAGAGTCCATTGGACATCCTTTTAAAGATGCGTTGTCTACTTAGATGAATTTTGCAAAAGTCCTCCTACATTTCAAAAAGATAAGCCAACTTGTTATCACTTGAATGTTTAATATTTGTATAGCTGATACATTCATTTTAAACGGGAGAGTTCTATTTTTATGTACTTTGTATGTATTTTGTGGTATACTGGTATATCTTCTAAAAGGTGTGTATATTGTTTATTTGCACCTATTTTAATGGACTTAGCAAACAAACATTAACAGTGGTATCTTTGCTTTTATAACATACTTTGGGCTTAGCTTTGGTTGATTTGGTATATAGGACATTGATGGGAATATAAAACTCCATTCTACCCTGTACATTATGACAGTTCTCTTATTGTCAGAGATGGGGGTCAAAGTCAGGAAAAGGGTACCTTCTGAAATCAAAACCAGTAAAATGTTAATACATAAAATCTAAGACTACCCTATTCATTTGTAGTACTAATCAGTATAAGAGATGATATGATAAGCCCAGAGTTTAAAACAAAAATACAGTATATTATATGAAACACTGTTAGGTACCTATATGTACTGTTATAACAGAAGAAGTAATTTGCATTGAATATAAAATATATCCAAATAATAAGAATTTGCCTGTATTTATACAGCACTGTGTGGAAGAGAGCCTGCTTCTCCCTCTCCCTCTGCCTGCTGCTCCCCCTGCTTGTGCTCTCTCTTTCTGTCAAATAAATAAAATCTTAAAAAAAAAAAAGAAAGAAGCAAGATGATAGATTGAGGGTTGAAAATATAGTGGAATATTGAGATAGTTTCAAGACTCACTGTGATGGGGTCCCTGTGTAATGTACAGATTATGGAAACCATAATCACCCTAGAGGTGATAATAGGACTTTACTGATTTGGCTTTTTAGTTATCTTGATATTTAGTAAAAGGTTCAATAGATAATAGCTGTGAATATTCTGATGGTGAAAATATGTATTTTAATGGCTAGTTAATTGATATTGCTATTATAAATTGTGTTTTCAATTTGATTAGCTTTAAGTGAGTCTTTGAGAGTATGATCACTCCAGGATGAAATGACAAAATTGAATTTCTGGATTAAAATGCCAAGGGATTAGACTAAGTATTGTCTATCTTATCAGTCTCTGAGGTTTTTTTATTACTAATTCTAGCTCTGACAGTATTTAATGACACTGTATTCTGTAAAGTTTAATAAGATATACTTTATTATACTCCACTTAGTCACATTGCCAGTAATCAGTAAATATTATTTGAATGAATAAATGAATTAATGATAACATGGTTTCAGGAATACATTTTAATGAAAAGTAGATTTTTATGTGTAAGATGATAAAGTGATATTTAAAATATGTTAGTCCCTTATAGCTGCTCTGTCCAAGTGATGCTCACTAGCCATGTGTGGCTCTTTAGCACCTGAAATGTGGCTTGTCAAAATTGAATTGATGTGGGACGCCTGGGTGGCTCAGTTGGTTAAGCGACTGCCTTCGGCTCAGGTCATGATCCTGGAGTCCCGGGATCGAGTCCCGCGTCGGGCTCCCTGCTCAGCAGGGAGTCTGCTTCTCCCTCTGACCCTCCTCCCTCTCATGCTCTATCTCATTCTCTCTCTCAAATAAATAAATAAAAAGAAAAAAAAAAATCTTTAAAAAAAAAATAAAAAAAAAATTGAATTGATGTGAAGTGTAAAATATACATTGGATTTCAAACACCTAGTATGAAAGAAGAAATGTAACTTACCTCAGTAACTTTTTGAATTTATTACATATTGAAATAGTATTTTGGATATGTGAGACTAAACTAGATATATAATTAAAATTGCTTCCACATTCTTACTTTTTTTAATGTTTAATGTTAGTAGAAAATTTAAATTACTCATGTGGTTTGCATTTGTGGCTTACATTTATTTTTATTGGATAGCACTAGCCCAGAGGTTTAATTTCTTTCTCTTTGGCAGAAACTGTATAGTGATAGGAAAAAAGCCAAACTCTTTCCTGGATATTTACAGATGTATGGTTCTATTTTGTTTTGTTTTTTTGTCTCCTATCAGATCACCAATTCAGGAGAATTTGTGTTCCCGTTAGATTCTCCACACAAAAAGCCTTATGAAGGTCTTATACTGGGGAGAGTTCGAGAAAAAACTGCTGTACCATTAAGGTAGGAAAAGTGATTTTTCAAAATTGTATAAATGTATACAAAATTGTATAAATGTATACAAAATTAATAGTATAGTGATCATTGATTTTCCTTAATTTTTACATTTTTGAAAATCTGAAAATGGCCCAGACCAGAAAAGTGTGAATGGTATGGTACATGAAATTTTATATTATCTTTTATCTAGTGTGTAAGTGTCATTATTGAAGAAAAGGAAATTTTTGGTAATGTCTCAGTACTTAAATTGCTGATTTACATTATTGCTTCTATTCTTGAATTTATTTTTAAATTCAGATTCTATTTGAAAGGTGAAAAAAATCAAGGCAACTGTGACTTATATATGAAAAATTGTCTTTAAAATATAATTTACTTTGTTGTTTTGTTTTAATTAGGAATGAAGATGTAAAAGTACTTCCCATTCCAGATCACAAGTTAATTGTCAGTGTGCCCTGTACTCTTCATTCACATAAGCCACCGCTTGCTGGTATGTTTTTATAAAATAGAATTGTTATGACGTCTGTCAAATTGAAGAAAGGATTGAATTTAGTATTTGAATGGTGTAGAGATTGGAAATTAAATTGGATGTTTTATTTTTGTTAATACTCTAAAATTTTACAGCAGAATTTATGTATAGTGTTTTTATTTATTTTGTTACAAAAGCTTTATTGTTTTCATTTGGTCCCTGACTTGAGAGAGGGCTCTATGATGGTTAGAGGGCTGCCTAGTGGCTGCAGGGAGAGGCACAGGCAGAAACTCTGACATCAGGGGGATGTGGAGGTGCCCGTCAAAGGCTGCTGGGCTCTGGAAGCTCCTAGTTGTGCTTGAGGATGAGCCTTTTGAAGAGATACTTGACTGGCCCGGCCCAGCCCAGGACCAGCCACCAACCAACCTGTGGAGGTTAGTCAGGTGGTCACCCAAGTTCTTGATGAGTTTTGCCTCCTCATCTGGAAGTGGCTCTCCAGGAAGTCACACAGATGGGGATTTAATGGGCAGAACCCAGAGCATACATATCCAGAAGGGCCTGGTTCAGGTTGTTCTTCAGGGCCGTGCAGCTTCCGTGGCATCTACGGCTTTGCCTCACTCATTTTGGGAGGGATTCTTCATGTTTTGGAAAGGGCGTGGCTGCCGTACTGGTTTTGCATCTTCTAAGAGATGCCTGGCCAACTTGAGGAAGAAGTGCCTAGGCCTTCCGGAGTCACATCGTCACAGTCCAAATAGAAGCCCTGAGAGGTGGATGTAAGAGGTCTGCAAATACAGGTTGACCAGACAGTTAACAGTGGCCTCCACCTTGGGAGAATTATTCTGAGGAATCTGGGAGCTCACCGTTTGTCAGCAATAAGGAGCTAACCACAAAAAATGGGGTGGCTGGTCCTGGAGGTTGTTCCTGGAAAGGAGATTGGAAGGTGGTCAGAGATTGGAAGAAGGGGGTCCCTGGGTCTGTTCCATCCAGAGACTGTTGAACAAGATTATTGAACCGTTGAAGCAAGAGATAGGTTTGTGGGATTGCCAGCTGCGCTGTATAGATTAGTTTTATTTCACCTCTGCTTTTCCTTTTATACCATTTTTTTTTAGGTTCCCCTTATTATTGGTTGTTACTCCCTCACTGTCCTTGATAGGCTAAAGACTGTTGGGGCAGCTAAGGATTGTAGTTCTACTAGGGGCTTTATTTCACTATGAGGGCTCTATCCCTTGCTTGTTTTGAAACCAGGAGCTCAGAAAAGCAGACAGAGAGAGAGAGTGAGAATCCCCTTGATACTTGGTAGAGATTCAGTTTTATGTTGAGGTAGTGTTGCTTTTCTGAACTATTGGAAAGGTAATTGCTGCAGCCTAGAATTCTTACTAGCCTTAATGCTTTATTTAGTAAAATGTGCATCATTCAGTGAAACTAAGCAGCAAGGAATAATGGAAAGTTTTAGCTTTGGAGATTGACTAACATGAGTTTGAATCCTGGCTCTGCTACTTAATGAGTTACTCTAACCATTTTTTACCTCAGAGTCCTCATTTAAAGAGCGACTAATGATATTTAATCTTTTAGAGTTGTGAGGATTGCTTATAATATATTTGAAATTCTGTAGTATATAGTAGAAGCTCTGTAAATGCTAAATTTTTCAAGTGAGAGTTTAAAAAAATAGGAATGTAGGGGCACCTGGGTGGCTCAGTCACTTAAGTGTCTGACTCTTGATTTTGGCTCAGGTCATGATCCTCAGGGTTGTGACATCAAGCCCCCATGTCAGGCTCCTCACTGGGCATGGACCTGCTTAAGATTCTCTCTCTCTCTCTCCCTTTCTCTGTGCTCCCCCCCAAAAAATAGGAATGTAAGTCCTTGAGACATACTCAATTTGTGATTGTTTCCTATTCAAAAAATTTGAGGAATATTTTTTTTATTAATTTGGTGATCCCTGCTTAAAAAACCCAAAACATTTAAGCTGCCACTCAGGAAAACTACAGGGTCCCCAGCCTATCATATTATTTTGTAGAATATGGGCTAGTTCATGAGCTAGAATACATAGGAAAGTGAATACAGAGTCTCAAGGTAATTTTTATTGATAGCGCTTAGGATTTCTGTTATCTTAAATTGCTTATGCAGAAGAATTTGTAGTGTTACTTCATTTGAGAAATACTCAGATGTTTTCCTGATGATCCATTCTTGACTTAGAGGCATGCTGAGTGAATAATTATCTTTAAGCTTTGTACTGTCATAGACTCTTAATTGCATTAATATTATGACTTAAATGAGTGACATTGTACTGTTCTTTGAGAAAAAAATTGTTTGGTACCAGTATTCAATGGAGGAAATCTAATTTGTATGCTTCTAATTTGAATTTTCTCTATCATTTAGTGAGTATCAAAGCGTAATTTAGTGTTCGTCTTAGGGCTTATTTTTTTACTTTTAAAAGCCAAGACCCAGCCTTTCATTCTCAATTTATAGTTAAACTGTTTATCAATTCCTTTTACATAGGATAAAATTATGTTTAAAGATTAATCTTAAAAAAACAAGGTTTTAAAATAGTAAATAAAAATTAGTCTTTTATTAATCCTAATAAAAATCAGCCTGTATCTATGACGTGCAGTTCTGCCATATGCCCAGTAGAGGGCAGCACAAACACATTTTTTTTTTTTTTTTTTTTTTTGGATTGAGAACTTTTAAAAAAAGAAAAGTTAGATTTTGCGGGGGGCCAGGGGGTAATCCATATGACTTGATATGTAATCCTTATATTTTGGTTAGGTGGTGGTAGACAAGAAGTATTTGTAACCCTATATTTTTGAATTTATGTTACTACGTAGCCAGTGCATATATTTTTAGGTATAGAGCTATACAAATTAAAGCCATCAAAAAACAATTTCTGCATTGTATTTCACTCTGAAATCCTAACTCTAGGTTTTAGGATAGTACATGTTCTATTCTATATGTAATGCTTAGAACTTTTACATGTAAATGTTCTTAAACTGTTTTATGTAAATTCATAAAATAAAATGTTCTCTCTTTTGCTTCTAGAGGCACCAGGATTTTTTAAAAAATTTAATTTTTTAAAGTAATTAATTTTTTATTATGTTATGTTAATCACTATATATTATATCATTAGTTTTTGATGTAGTGTTCTATGATTCATTGTTTTTGTATAACACCCAGTGCTCCATTCAGTACGTGCCCTCTTTAATACCCATCACCAGGCTGACCCATCCCCCCACCCAAACATTTTTAATTTATTGCTACATTTACTCTGTTTTTAAATTTTGAAGTTTCCTGCTACAGATTAAAAGATAAGCCTTCAATAGCTATGGCTTGTAATCTAATAATTATAAATGTTTATAAAATTTAAAGATTTAAAAGTATTTGGATCAAAATTGTTTTTTATATTTTACCTTAGAGGAATTTCCACTCCTTTTACTACTTTACTCACTAACAGTTTCTATCTGAAGAGTAAAACACAGTTTGATAAGATTCTGTGCACTGTGTTGGAGCCCCTTCTCCCCTAACCCTGCCCTTTGTTCCCAGAGCAAAAAGGGAATGACTGGCTATGCGTGGATTGTTTCCTCTCCTTTGATTAGAAGTATGTTTTGCTAATGTCAGATGTTATGTAATTATCTAAGTATATGTATCTGTCCTATTCTTTAATTTATACATTTGAATTTACTTTTTAAAAATTGAGGTATAATTAACATATACCAGTATATTAGTTTCAGGTGTACAATGATTTGATGTATATATATATTGAGAAATGATCACCAATCACCATAAGTCTAGTTAACATCCATTACCACACATAGTTACAAAATGTTTTCTTTGTGATTAGAACTTTTAAGATCTCGAGTTTACTTTTAAACTGATATTTAAAATTAGTAAGAATAAAACATTTCCATTCATTTGCTTTTATTTCTTTTGCTTTGTTTTGAAATGTGGTTAACATTTTAAAAATATTACTCCTTGACTTTCTATTTTTCTCAACCAGAAAGGAAAAAAAAACCATGCAGAAATGTGTTACATTGAGAAAGTAGGAGGTAGTAAATGGGTTTAGGTTTTATGTACTATATTTGTCAACTCCCAAGTGCCTGGCCATCTTTTTCTACTAGATTGTGTACTCTTAGAAAACATGGATATCTGTTTCCTTTGTTAAGTTCCATAATACTGATTATAGTGGATGCTCAGAATAGTAAGCATTTTTGACTGGCTGACTCCCGCCTGTTTGGACTCCAGATTATGGTTTAAGAATAGAGTTGCTAATGTATTTGTACCAAAACACTGAACAAACAAACAGAAACAAAGAAAACTTTGCTTCATATAACTTTACCACATTAAAAGTGAATTGAGGTTGGTAAGGCATTGAATTCATGGAGAAAAAATGGAAGAGTGATATAAGTTTATTGTCCTCTAAGACTCTGGGGAAGTCTTTCTCTCTCAGGTTTAATAACATTTAATTATACACTTATTTTTTTTTTAAAGATTTTATTTATTTATTTGAGAGAGAGAATGAGAGAGAGAGAGCACATGAGAGGGGGGAGGATCAGAGGGAGAAGCAGACCCCCTGCTAAGCAAGGAGCCCGATATGGGACTCGATCCCGGGACTCCAGATCGTGACCTGAGCCGAAGGCAGTCGCTTAACCAACTGAACCACCCAGGTGCCCTAATTATACACTTATGAAAGGACTAGAAGTCTCATGTTAGCATCCCCTAAAAGCTATCAAAGCCCAAATGTGACTTCAGTTGGGTTATAGACAATGAATGCTTTAAATTCTTTGATTTTTGATAAACAGGACCAATACTTTTATAGAAATAAACAGTTCTTTTGCTGTGAGAGTGATTGGGAGAACATTATGAACATGAAATTTTTTTAATATATTTTCTTTTAAACTTTACCTATATCAAGTACTCCTAAGGAATACTTACCATTCCTAAAGGGAATTTGATAAATTTCTTCCAAGCTCAATCTTCTATAGTAATTAAGAACTATATTTAAAAAATGCTCTTCTAGGACTTTTCATCCCTGAATTGTTATTTTCATACCCAGTTCCTATAATGTGGTTAATATAGCTAACCAGCAATGATCAAGGTTAAATTGATTTAAATATTTGTAATCCAAGTGAACATGTGCTTTAAAAAAAAAAAAAAAGCTTTTATCGTTTTTTCTTTCTGTTACTGTGTATCATAGCATTTAGTCAACATCTGTATGAGGTAGCTTTTTCCTGAAAAATACAATTTTTAGTAGTTATTATTACATTACATAAGGACTACTTGTGGAAATACGATGGTGAAATTTTAGGTAAAAAGGATCTATACTTTAGAAATGATGGAATGTGCTACCAAGTCCTAGCTTTGAGGGTATTGTATTTGTTACTTATATTGTTCAGTATTTTTATCGGTACCCAGTTCTTCATTTACTGCTCTCTTGCTGAGATATATGCTTGCAGAAACTTATATTTTATCATCTCAGTTTTTTAAGTGGGTTATTTTTGTGTTGTTTCTATATACTTCTTTTTCATGCACAGATTACATTTATTAAAAAAATTAAGTTAGTACTCAGGAGATATGTTAGCAGTAATGGAAAACTGAAAAGTCACCTGTGAGGGTGTTAAAATTCTTATTTCTCATCTGCAGATGAAAACTGATAATCAAGACTCTTGAAATTTCTGATGGTGTGTTTCCAATCTCAGGAGTGGTTATTTCAAATGACTTCTAACTACCAATAGTAAAGCCTATGATGAAATCCTTGCAATTAATTAGCTGTCCTTTTTTTTGTTTGTTTAAGGAAACATTCCCGCTTTTCTGCTTTAAACTGCTAAAAGGAAATTGATTCCTTTCTTAACAGTAATTTTTGTGTTTTTTCTCTTTTTTGGACAGAGGTTCTAAAAGACTATATCAAGCCAGATGGGGAATGTTTGGAATTGTTTGCTCGAAATTTACAGCCAGGTTGGACTAGTTGGGGCAATGAAGTTCTCAAATTTCAACACATGGATTATTTTGTTGCTCTGCAGTCTAGAAGCTGACTATGATCTTAAAGTTGTGATTTTCTTCACTTTTTCCTCACCCCTTTTTCCTTCATTCTAACTGATATTTCCTTTTCTCACCAACCAGTATGCTTAGAAATGTAAACAGGACTTGGTTTTTCTGCCAAAGACCAGAAGTGACTAGTCTTTATGTAATTTTGAGATGAATTTACTTCCGTTGTACTAGTAGTCCCCATTATTCCGGATTCACTGCAAATAAAGAGGTAAGCAGTTAGAAAAATGACAAGACTTTGTTATCGAAAAAGTTCGGAAAGCACGCACTATGGACCAGAGGTCATAATTCTGCCTATGGATGTGTTTCATTTGGCCCATATGGTGTTACAAAAGAAATTTGAACCATCATTCTGAAAATTTGAACCATCATTGTGAAAAATCTACACATAAAGTGTAGATTTTCGCTTTTCTCTAAACATCAGAAGCTCTGGCTGCATTGAGGTCTGTATTCTTTACTGGCATCAGTCAGTAGGACCCAGTGGTAGCAGCTCACTTGGGAAGGGACATGGGCTCTGCAGTTTACCACAAAAACACTTACTCCATGCCACTCACTTGTATTGTCTACGTGGCCCCTGTGCAACCCAAATTTATGATCTCTGGTATACTGTTACGTTCTGGAAAAAATACTGAGAGACCTGCCAAGTACCTCATCATTGTACTGAGCTTATGAAACCTTTTTGGAGGGTTTTAAATTGCATTCAAGGTCACTTTTCTTTTTTTTTAATTTATTTTTATTTTTATTATTATTATTTTTTTAAATTTTTTATTTATTTGAGAGAGAGAGAATGAGAGAGAGAGCACATGAGAGAGGGGTGGGTCAGAGGGAGAAGCAGACTCCCCACCGAGCAGGGAGCCCGATGCGGGACTCGATCCCGGGACTCCAGGATCATGACCTGAGCCGAAGGCAGTCGCTTAACCAACTGAGCCACCCAGGCGCCCCTCAAGGTCACTTTTCAAGTACTTCTTAGTTTTGCTTGGTTTTCTAGAAGATTTAAAGAGTATTTCTTATAAAAATGTCAGAAGATGGGGCGCCTGGATGGTCGTTAATCATCTGCCTTCGGCTCAGGTCATGATCCCGGCGTCCTGGGGTCAAGCCCCACATCAGGCTCCCTGCTCGGCGGGAAGCCTGCTTCTCCCTCTCCCACTCCCCCTGCTTGTGTTCCCTCTCTCACTGTCTCTCTGTCAAATAAATAAATAAATAAATAAATAAATAAATAAATAAATAAATAAAATCTTAAAAAAAAATGTCAGAAGATAATACCGCTTATGATTTAAAAGATATTTATATTATTTACAGATTTCCCACAAATATTTTTTTACTAAGTAAAATATTTTTTACTGAAATGATTCTTTGAAAAGCATGCTGATTTGTTGTGTATAACCTTTTTTTAAATTGAGATACAATTTCACATAAAATTCTCCAATTTTTACTATAGGATTCAGTGAGTTTAGAAAACATATACTATGGTTGTCTGTCTACCACCATAATCGTGATATAGAACATTTTCTTTACCTCCAAAACTCATGTGTCCAATTACAGTCAATCCCTTCCTCCCATCCCTGGCATTTGGTGAACAATGATTTGTTTTCTATCATTAGTTTTGCTTTCTTAGAATTTCATATAAACAGAATCATAGAATATGTAATCTATTGTATCTGGCTTCTTTCACTTAGCATTTTGACAAAAGTATTTATATAATTTACAGCTTTTCTACAAATATTTATCTCCTAAATAAAATGTTAGATTGAGATGGTTATCTGACACATTTGCCTATTTGTTTACTGATTTTGCCAATGAAAAAATGTTATTTTTGAAGTTTGTTCATTCTTTGTGTGAATATATATTATAGGCTTAACTTTGTATTTATAGGGATACTCTTACTTGTTATTGAAATGAAAAAAGGCATTAAACTTGAAGCAAACATCTCACAACCTTATTTGAAACTCTTTCCAGCCTCTTGTACTATTTATAGGTTTTATATAATTTGTGGAAACGTTTTATTCTCACCAAGTTTTTGGACTTTTATTTTTGCACCACAAATACTGATACTTGAGAGAAAAAGAATTTTTATTCACTGAATGTGGTATTCAAGACACAGAGGGTTGGTTTTTTTTGTGTGTGTGTGTTTTGTTTTAGACACAGAAGTTGTAGTCTTAGCTCTGTTCCTAAGTTGTACAACCTGTGGGCCTTGTTTGTAATACCTGTTTAATTATTGGGCTCTTTTTTGACCAAAAGATCATTCTGGAAAATGGAACAGTCACATACCTTGTGAGAACAAAAAGGCCAGACTAAGAGCATTGAACTTTGACTTCATTACCCCTGAGTTTTAGCCAACTGACCTAATGAACTTTATTATTCATTTAATGTTATATCTTCATTCAGAGATTTTTATATTGCTTTTAAAGCCTGTAAGGATTTTATTTTCTATCATATTTTTTTACAGACTTAAAGTCTTTTAGGACTCTTGGAAATGCTTAGACAAAGGGATAGAGCTAATGTTTGTTGAATAGTGTGTTACTCTTTGCTATGCTTTTTACATTTTATTGCATTTAATCCTTGTGCAGTCCTGAGAGTATTATCTCCATTTAATAGTTAAGAAAACTGAGGCCCAGGAGACTATTTTGTCCTAAAACCTATAGTAGGTATTGGAACTAGGATTAGAATGCACAGCTCCCTGACTTGTAGCCCAGCCCTAGAGTTTGGTTTGATTTGGAGGCCATGCAATCACAATTGGCTTCCTGAGCAACCACACAAAAAGCCATTTCACCTGCACATGGTTAACGGCGGACACCACACTCGAGAAACTTTGGGGAATCTTGCCTCATGAGATTGTATCCTTAGAATTCGTGGCTTTTCTCTTGACACTCTTTCACCTTCCCATTCAGGGTCCATTAGAGTAAAATCACAGAGCAGGTAACTGCTCTTTTGGAAGCAGATCGTCTATAAGTTGGTCCTTTTTGTCTTCCTTTCTTAGAAAGGGGAAGTAATAATTCTTATCTTTTAAGTTGTTATGAGGATTAAATGAGTTAACACATGTAAGGCACTTAGAACTGTACTTGGAATATTTTAAGCAATCAATGTTTGAACTCTTCACATATTTTTTAGTTTCAGGTCAAAAGGTTTTCTTTCACAATTTGTACTCCAGTTTGGGGGATTCACCTGCATACTGTCCACAGAGTTTTTCTGTCTAAACATCATATTTTCTTGATCTTTTTCTTGAGATCAGATTTCCTAGCTTGCACCCGGTTTCATACACGAGGAAGCTTTGAAATCCATCATTTCCATTGTGGTCCTGCCTGGAAATAAATAATTAAAAACAAAACAAAGGCCACATGTAGCTTTGGGTTTCAACTCTTGACTCTGAACTTCATTGTTACTGTACATTGTTCTTTGATGACTTCCATAGGTGGTTAATTGGTGGCCTTTCTGATGTTTCTTCTATATTCAGAAACTTTAGGCTCATGTCACATTAATTTTGGTTCAGAATAGATCTGTTACACTTTGATGGATGATCTGTTACACTTGCAGGACCTTGATTTTTATGTGCAACAGCTGTGGACTGAATGCACCCTCCCAAAATTCACATGCTGAAACTCTAACCCTCAATGTGATCGTATTTAGGGGTGGGGCCTTTGGGAGGCAATTAGGGTTAGATTAGGTCATCAGTGGGGGGGGCCCTCATAATAGGATTAATGGCTTTATAAAAAGAAACATGGGATCTCACTCTGCATGCAAGGACCAACAAAAGGCCAGGTGAGGACATAACCAGGAAGATGGCTCTTACTGGGAACCTGACCATGCTGACACCTGATCTTGAACTTTCAACCTCCGGAACCCCAAAGAATAAATGTTTATTATGTAAGTCACCCAGTCTATGGTAATTTGTTATAGTAGCCTGGAACCACCAAAGAAATTTTCTCATTGATAAGATACCCATCAAGTAAATAAGGCCTTTTTCTTTAGATAGTCTGAAAGTGAGAATAGGTTTTTCTTCTTGGATGTCAACATTTGAGCTCCCTCAAAAAAGCCAGTGTCACTGAGGGCTGGTTGTCTTCTTGGAGGAGGACAGAGAGATTAGTCCATGACTCAGGTCTGGGCCTGGCTTTAATTGCTACCTTGCTCCGTCCTTGCTGTAGGCTGTATCTACCTTGTCCTATTCTAATCCTTCAAATTCTATGACTCAAACTCATTCTTACCAGAAACCCCAAATGCACCTTTTCAGATTTGGTACCCTAGAGACATACCTTTAGTGAATTTTTATATATTCAGCTTCAGTGAAACTTTGGGTTTTCTACTGACGGTGATTCAGAGGAGGATTATAAACATATGAAAGGCCCTCCCTTCCCTGAAGGCCTGCCACACCCTGGGAAGCACCACAGCACTGTTGGCGTAGTTCTCTGGTTATCAGAGTTCTTTTACTTCAGTTATGTCATTTTACCCTCAAAGCAGTTTTATAAAGTTGTGGTTATAATGAGGGAACAGGTTCATAGAGGCTAGCTGACATGGCTAATAAGTGATAACCAGGACTTGAATTCTGATTCCTAAATTAATGCACTTGATGTATCGTGTTTGCTAATGAACCTGAGATCTTAATAATAGGCTCATTAGCTGCTAATCAGAGGATCCATTGGGTAGCCTGAAGTAAATTTAGAATGGTTCATATATAATCATCCAAACATACCCTTCTCAATATATGATATCATCAGTTTTAAGTTATTAACACAATATTTTCATTAGAGATTTTAGTGACATTGATTGATAGAGTGCCACTCAGAATCACTCAGAATCAGATGGGCTGTGAAATCCTTTGACATAAGCCGTTAGCATATTTACCATGCAGTTATGCGTTCCTCAGATTAGCCATTTTAAGTTCACATTTTTAAGGAAACTCTTATGCAAAATACAGATTTGGATTTGAAGATGGCTATTCAAGTAGTGAGAAAGGAGAGATTAAATAAGGTAAGTACAGGTGCAAATTATTTTATGTACCATAGTAATCTGTTACCAGTGTTTGGATGTATGGACAAACCCAGAACTACATAGACGGCCTTAATTCATGGTTCTACTGACGAGTCTGCTCCAGCTTGAAAGCAAGTCAGATTACCATGATAACTCCACAACCAGCCTTTTCCCTTAAATATTCCTAGGAGTTAACATAAATCTTCTGGGACTTATGTGAACTTGAGGGGAACTTCTTGGTCTTTTTCAGTAGCAGTCCAAGTCCTTGGGACCATGTAAAAACAAATTGATCTCTAGGGGTGGAGAACATGAGGAAACTATTTTTTTATTCACTTTCTCTGATTGGGTTTTGGCCTAATTATCAGATAACTGACACAACAATGGGATAACTTTGGATGACAACTAGGGCAAATGAGTGGTCACTTACAGTGTTAAGTCATTTTTGGTCAATATCTCTAAGGAAAAACATAAGGTACCCAGATTGATTTTTAGCTGCTTCTCCCCAAATTGCCCACATATATCCTGATCGTTAGTCAAACTAGACTGTTGTTATTTGAATTTAGGACTCTGTGCTTTTGCTCATGAATCTTCCTCAGTCAGGAAAAAACTAGGCTGTGGGATCAGCTGGATTTATATTTTGAGTCTTGATATTCATCTTCTGAGTGACTGAGTAATTATTTAAACTATGCTTTCCTGTTTTCTGAAGAATAAGAAGGCTAATCTTTGGACTTTGTAGGATTATTATGAAGATGAAGTGAAATAACGTATGTAAAGTTGCCTAGCATAGGACCTGGTACTTAGAAGTTATTCAATATATATGCTTATTTCTCTTTATTTACAGTCTTCCTGGCAACATGTCTTACTTCATGATCCACTTTTTTTCCCCCCTAAAGGAAGGCTTTTTTTCTTGCTCTTAGAGCCGCTTTTTACGTGTATGGATTATCCAAATAGGTTTTCCCTCACATTTATCACGGAAAGAGAAAAGTGGTTTATTCTTTAGGTGGCTCACTGGAAAAAAATAAAAAATAAACGACTTTATATCCTCTTGAATACCTTATGAGAGGAGGACGAATTTTTATTTATGTTTCTCCTACCAGCATACCTGGAACTGCCAGTATTTAATGAATGAATGAACTAACTCTTGGCCTTCAAGTATCTTTGAATTCTGTTAAGTAGATAAGACTCGTGTAAGAAACCATTACAGCATAGCAAACCACAGTGTACAGTCAAAGATTAAGTGGTGGAATAGACAGAAAGTGATGCAGAAGTTTAGAAAAGCAGATTACTTAGAGATCACTAAGCAATGTGAGAAAACGGAGCAAACCAAGTCCTGATTAAATTTTTTTTTTTTTTTCTAACTGTAATGATGTTACTAGACAGTAGGCAGCTAAAATGTGTGAGTTCAGAAGAATTATAAAGAAAGCATTTTGTTCTTTCTAGATTGTAAACTTTAAAATATTTTATATTTCTCTAGAAATACAGAGGATATTAGTACATGCAATTTATTTTATCAATTTGTTAGAACCAGAGGCTAAATTAACAGGAGTTTTTACTTACTTCTCTGTATTTTCCACCTTTTGAATGAAAATGTTATTTGGGCATCTTTTCTAGAGTTGTCTAGTAGGATTATTTTTATTATTTTACAGCTGTGCTGAGGTATAATTGATATAAATTGCACATACTTACAATGTACAGTTTAATGAAGTTTGACTTCTGTTTATACCTGTGAAGCTACCATCACAAACAAGATAATAAACATAATCTTGGAAGATTTTGTCAAAGCCCTGTATATCTACGTTTTATTCCTGTGCAATAATATGCATTCTGTACCGTAGAATTGTGTGCATTTTCTAGAATTGTACATAGATGAAATTATACAGCATTCACTCTTATTTTTGTGTAGCTTCCTTTCACTCAACATAATTATTTTGAGATTCTTTGCATGTGTATCAATAATTCATTCCTCTTCATTGCTGAGTAGTATTAAATTGTATGGACATACCACATCTTATCTTTTCATGTATTAGTTTTCTATTGCTGCCCTAACAAATTACCACAATCATAACGATTTAAAAGAACACTCATTATTAGTTTACAGTTTTGTAGGTCAGAATTCTGGGCAGTCTCATCTGAGTCACTGCCTAGGATGTCAGAAGACTAAAAACAAGGTGTTGGCTGGACTGAGCTCTTATCTGGAGGCTTTAGGGAAGAATCCATTTTCAACGTCATTCAGGTTGATCGCCAAGTACAGTTCTGTTTCTTTAATGGCTGTCACCTAGGAGCTGCTGCTCTCCAGTCCTTGCCCATGGCTCCCTCTATCTTCAAAGTCACAATAGCACATTGAGTACTTAGCCTTCGATTCTCTCTGACTTCCCCTTGTGCTGCCATCTAAAGAAAAGGCTTTTAAAAAGGGCCATGGTGATTTGATCAGGCCCACCTGAATAATCTCCCTTTTGTGAGTGATATGTGATCATATTCACGGGTTCCAACCAAATTCAAAGGGGAGGAGATTTTATAAGTGAGAAGCTCTTTGGGAGTCATTCTTAGAATTTTGCCTACCATGGGCCCAGTTTCTGGCCTCCAGTGATCCATGTCTGTCCCACTGTAAAATACATTAGCACCTTCCCAAGGTTTGCAAGGATATCATTCCATCAGTTCAAAGTCCAGGATCTCATCTAAATTTCTTCAGCTTGAAAGTCTCAAATCTCATCCTTTAAGTCATGTAAATCAGGTTAGAACAGAGGCATCAGGGGGCACTTGGGTGGCTCAGTCGTTAAACATCTGACTTTGGCTCAGGTCATGGTCCCAGGGTCCAGGGATCGAGCCCCACATCGGGCTCCCTGCTCAGCGGGAAGCCTGCTTCTCTCTCCCACTCCCCCTGCTTGTGTTCCCTCTTTCTCTGTGTCTCTCTCTGTCAAATAATAATTAAAAAAAAGAACAGAGGCTTCTGGTATAATCCATTAAGCACAACTTCAGGGCAAAAGTCCTCTCCATTAGTGGACCTGTGGAACTAAAGAAACAAGTGACCTGCCTCCAACATAATCAACATACAATGGTGGGACATGCAAAGCTTAGGAGTTACAGCTATTTCAGTTTAAAAAGACGGGATACGGAAAAAAAAAATGGCCTTACTTGTCCAAAACAGTTTGAAAATCTAGCCAAGTGAACTTCTTGATTAGACTCCAATGTAAATTCAGTAAAACTTGGCTGTCACCTTGGCTTCCAGCTCTTGGCTCCACCCTCTGAGCTCTGGTTCAAGTCTCGGCTCTTGTTTCCATCCTTTGAGTTATCCTCCCTTTTCTATGAAAGGTAGCATGTGTCTACAGCTGACTTCTTTTATCAGCCTGCTTCCTGTCAGTATAATTTGTAGGGTATGACAGCCTTCTTTTCATTTTATACACTATCCCTTTTAGTCCAAGCTGGTATCATTTCTGCTGGCATAAATTCTTAAGAACCTTGTGAATCTTGTTTGGAATTTTTTTTTTTAATGCTTTTTATCAACTTGGGGAAGTTCCCTTCTATTCCTATTGTTTTGAGAGTTTTTATCATGACTAAATGTATTTTATCAGATGCCTTTTCTGTGTCAATTGACAAGATCATATGATTTTTCTTCAGTTTGTTA